AATGTCCATTTTTTATCTTTTTTGCGTGCGCTCCAGACTATAATTTCCCATTTGTATTGTGTTTGTTGGTATTCCATTGTTCGTTTTTTTTTTTATGATAAATTTAGTAAAAAATTGAAATTAATATATTGGAGTTATTGACTGTGACCTTTTGTTTTTTTTAAATGAGGTCGTGTTTTAACGCATGACTGTTAATTCTGATCTTATCAGCTTGTGTTTCAACACGTGACTGTTAATCCTGCTCTTATCCTGCTCTTATCAGATGACCTAGGTGACCTGGGTTCAACACGTGACTGCAAACGACCGTGACCTTGTTGACCTATGACGTCTGTGACTGTGACCTTTTTATTGACCTATGATGTCATTGACTGTGACTGTCCAGTAACCCATAACTACTTATTTCTATGATTTCCATACGAAAAAAAGGCCGACATCCAGGCCCTGTGTGTATAGACCAACCCGCGCCGTCTGTATTTCTTCCTTTAGAAGAATTGTTTCGAACTAAAAACTATATCAACCTGTTTCACTATGTCCTATCTCCTAATGAAAAGTGTCTTTTCTTTCTATCTCACTCTCATAAAGCTACACTAGTCTTTGAGGGTATCAAGGTCGGTGCTATCGACCCCCATGCTTCCACTATTTTAATTTCTAAGTCACCAAATAATGTCATGTATCAGATATACTATCAAAAGATGCAGGAAACTTACCTTCTTTAGACTTGAATCATGATTTAATCCAATTATGAACACACAATAAATATTCCATCAAAATGTACGTATTGACAACCACATTTCGAATTTTACATCGGCTTGCTCACTAGGTTAAATACGGGCTTTTAGGGTGCTTTCTTTAACGTCCGTGATTAGTCAAGAAATAGGTCGAGCAGGCGGATCTCAGTGTCATTTGTTAGATTCCCAGATCTCGACAAGATGGCATCTCATGGAGCTTTTCCGGAATTTAATTTATTCCAAGGGTTTCAAATGGTTTTTTATGTGGCAGTCAGGAGCACTGTGACGGGGCAGGAATTCGCCAGATGGCCGGGGTGAATCCACCACCAGAAGCACGCAGACCAGACAGACGGAGGGCCGGGAGATCCAGTCCCTACTCTCAGCCCCTAGCCATAGGGCCACCAGCCAGTCCTTCCTCACAACCATCCCTCGACGACAGATTAAATATCATGTATGGGATTTCGCCTCCAGTCTCTCCTAGACCGGGACCATTCATCACACCCCCAACATCACCACCACCACTGATGTCTCCACGCCCACAACCGCCACATCCATCACCGGCCAGGAACCCGTCACCCCCATCGCCCCTTATTAATAATGTTATTCCAGTATGGGGAGCCCCTGTAGGGACGGAAACCATTCAGAGATGCAGCGTTTGTTGGTGTGAGGATGTGCCTACCTATTACATATGTCAGCAATGTAGAAATAGACCAACTTGTGGAAGGTAAATACAATTTGTAGATTTTTTTTTATTTATTTCTTTTTTTTTTATTTGATTTATTTTATTTTTTTTTTTTTTGGAAAAGTATAAGGTCTTTTTTAAATTATAAATTAATTTTGACTTTCAATGTTTAAAAATTCAGTGATCTATAAAATGATCTATAAAATGTTATATGTAAATATTTTTTTTTCTAAATTATAGATGCACCAGGATGTTAGTTGATCATGGGATGTCCTGTCCGATTTGCCGGTTCAGAGGACAAAACATCCCGCCCACAAGAAGAAGAAGGGGAAGAAGAACTGAGTGAGTGGCAGTAACAGCAGGCCAAGACTGAGGCTAATACCATCAGGCCCAGTCTTAACTATTAAACCCACGGTCCTTTTAAGGACCACCCACATTTTTAGAAAAGATGCCTTTCATACAGGTGTATATATAGAAACGAATGTGTCAAGAAAAACACCAGGTCATACCCCCTCAAATATTTAAAAAACAAACAAACTTAGAATATTTTTGTTCATAATTTTTTTTTTCAAATTATTTTTATTACACTATTTTTTTTTTTTATATTTTTTTCTTAATCCCCCCTCTAAACTCACAACTCAAATAATAGTTTGGGGTTTTTTTTGCAATTAATTTTTCCCCTTTAATTCACTAAATAGTTTTCTCTTTAAAAAAAATGTTCTCCCTTAAATTAACTTGATAGTTTTCTCTTAATTTTTTTTTTCTAAACTTAATAACACTTAAAATAAATTCTCATTATTCATTTTTTTCTGTGGTAAACTCATATTATTTATTAAATTATAACTCATCACACACACACATTTTTTCTTTGGTTGTATATTTTTAAATCATAAGAACACACCTGTTTTTATAATAGTATTTTATTAAAACAACAATAACACATTACAGTGCAAGGCATTATGTATGATGAAAAATGTACACATGTTTGTCATAAGTGTGTGCAAATTGTTCAATATATTGTCTATAATGAGTCCAATTTCCCCCACCTAAATTACATCCAATCTTGTAAGGAAAACCAAATGTTTTATAAGGTAAATTTCCCAATTCTTGTAAGCAGGTCTGAAATTCTCTCTGTTTTGGGGGGTATCCTCATAAGTGGAGATTCTTTTAGGTCTGTGACTAGCTCTGCCATAATCCCATTGAGCTAGTAAACAAATGACCACGGGTGTTTGTGAGGTAAACACCCTAATAGTTCCTGGAATTCCTCTATCTTCTTCTACGGCTAAATTTCTAGTCCCTATAGGTTTGCGAGTCGCATACACATTCGCTTGGGGGAATTTCTCCGCAAGACTTTGACTCAATCCATGAGCTCTGACTGTTAAACAGTTACACTGGTGTACAATAACTTCTGTATCACTGTTGAATAAATCTCCTTCCATCTCCTGGAGACTCATGGTTCAAACTAAATGTTCATGTCAAGTCATTTCCCTTTTTATAGGCAATAAAAAATGCATTGGTTTAAAAAAAAATCATTTTTTTTAAATTGTCATTATCAACCAGTTTTCCTCAATTTATTTATTTTTTAAAATCCTATTTTTTTTGGCTGAAGCTGTCACCCCTAAACAAAATAGGCAAATCTAACAAAATGACATGTGTTTGTACAATGCTTAGTATTTATTTCATTTTTTCATTGTATTTATGTATACAAACAGCCCACATCCAAAAAAAATAAATTCTTTTGTGTATTGATAAATAAAATGTATGGTTAAAGGGTGATAATCTACTTTCTAAAATGACCAAAAAAAACCCCACATCTTTTTCATTTTTTAATTGTATTTATGTATACAAACAGCCCACATCCAAAAAAAAAAAATTCTTTTGTGTATTGATAAATAAAATATATGGTTAAAGGGGGATAATCTACTTTCTAAAATGACCAAAAAACAAAAACACATCTTTTTCATTTTTTAAAAATGAATTATTTTTTTTTTAAATCTAACAAACAACAACGACAACAAACAATTACAACACATTTTGATAGAAACATTGACAAGTTTGTCCATGACCCGTAGGTAATTTCTGATAAGTGTCTTTAAACCAACGGGCGACAAAATGATCTCTTTGTAAAGCCGTACTCCGGTCAAACGGAAATAACCATTCATCTGCTTTTTTTCTCTTCTTGTCTCTTTGATGTAAATAATACACGCAATATTGTCCACACACATCTGAATTCCAGTCTTGATATCGATACGGATTATAAATCCATTGGTAAGCATGACGCTGGATAAAGTCTTGAATTTCTCGATGTAAGGGAGGAAATTCATAAGAGTCAAAATATTCCACCACTGGACTGCTCACATATAGACACAACCAGTGTTCTCCAGGTCGAGCTTAAGGATCCGTATTGAGCACGATGGCTTTTTCTCCAGGTCTTAATTGATCCGGTAATAAATCTAAAGGGTACACTCCACCAAAAGAACTCTTTAATTCTCTGGATGAGACTTCTCTTAATTGTCCCGTATCCATTAGTAATCAATACTCACTTCTCTCTGTTTGTTAATTTCTAATAGGTTATCAAATTCTGCATAAACCACACAATTTAAGGTGGTAGCCGTGTTGTTGGTAAACTGAACTTCTACCCTCAGATTTCCAGTTTCTATGATGTGGAATTTATCCGACTGCGCCTCTTGGTCTTTGGTGAAATCCCAGCCCCACAGAGTGTATCCGTTTTTATACTCTTCTAGAGTGATGTCCGGAGCCCAATCTTCTCCTAATTTTCCCAGGGCTTGATACAGACTGAGATAAGATCTCAGATATAAATCCTCGTTGAAATGAGGTTCAAAACAACGAGTACTCATGGTCTCTCCGTTGATACTGACATCTAATTTCTTAATCCCAAAGTTTTGAAAATGAAAGGGATTTTTAGTATGATCTCCATTAAATGCCGCATTCTCCACAAAGCCTAAAATGAGACGTTTAGGCATCTGTCCTTGAAACAGATGATCCGTAATCTTAGATTGGGTCCCTGTGGCGATGGTAAAGGTTTTCACTTCTACTCTTCTCAATGGATATTTAGCTCTGTGGGTGCTCAAACTTTGATTAATGGCATTCATCATAACCGCCGTGGGTTTGACTTTTCTCACCCACAAGACCATACTCAATATTTTCACTTTTCCAGTACTTCCTGCCTTGATCATCATGTAGAAAGCGGGTCTAGCTCGATTAAATCGCAAACGGACGTCCACTCCATTGGGTAGAAATTGATCTTGTTAAACAAATCCAAATGTAAACCATCCAGCAAACTGATTTTCTTACTACCATTGATGGCTTTGTGACGTTTTCTAAATCCTTCGTTTTTAGAATTGTCCGGTAACTCTGTGAGGATAGGTTGGTTAATGGTCACTGTATCGGCACCACCATTTTGACCCGGAGTTACATTAAAGGTTTTATTTTGAGCTACACCAAGGTCATCTAACCCCACTTCGTCCATGTGTCCTGCCGTATCTTTTTCCCACAGACTACAAGCCCTCGTCTGTGTCTTTAAAGTTCTGGGTCGGTAAGACAATAATTTCTCCAGATAAGCTTTGTAAGGATAGGTATCCGTCCCCGGAGTCACTATTTTGACTGACATCGATTTCCGTAAACATGGAATGTAAGATATTATTCACTGGGCTCGAAGTGCTGTTAGCCCCAGTTAGATTACTTCCATCGTCTTTGGTAAATTTACATACCATTTGAACATAGGTTTGAGATAAATCTAGATAGTGATCTCCTTGTCCTTTAATTTCAAATTCGATAGGAGCTGTCTCCGAATCTAAAGTACTGGAAATGGGGTAATATTCTTCCCATTTAGAGTCTTCTAAAGCAATATTAGTCGGAGGAACTTCAAACAATTGTAAATTGTTCATTCCACACGCACAGGAATCGGGTTGCAACATGATGTTTCTACTAGGATTTAGTATTCACAAATGAACCTTCTGTTCAATGGACTGTCCTATTTATAGTCTCTCTCTCTCAGTCAAACACATCCAAAGGACGTTTTCTTTTAGGATTTCCTCCTTGTGTTTTCCTTTTTTTCCTAGGACCTCCTCGGGCCAACATAGGTGTATTTCTTCTTCTTTTCGTAGTACTTCCCAGATTCATTCTTTGCTTCACCATTCCCGAGGTATTTTTAAGAGCTTGTACTCCGTGAGTTTTGACTGCGTCTTTTAAAGATTTCTTATCTTCTAATACGTCTAACCCCGTTCCAGCAGCAGCAGTCAAGGCGTGTTTGGCTCCCGTTTACAGTAAATCAGTAAAATAAACCTTCCCCTCTTTGATAGTTTTGGGGTGGATAATAGGCTGGTGGTGGTGGTGGTTGCTGTTGAGCCAATAATCCTCCTACTAGATTGCTGACTAAGGGACCTGCTACTTTAAATAGGGATCCTAAAAAACCGTGTCCCCTTTGACGTAATAAACCTCTATGATAGACAAACTGTCCGTGTCCTCTTTGTCTCAGTAATCCTGGATGATATTGCATGGTTCATGTCTCTTGTTTAACTGACCTTTCTGTCATCAGGGACTTCCTTTTATACCCTTTTTTAGGACCGAATACAATACAGACAGCAGACCAGACAAGCTACCACACCCAATAAGATGGAACACAATAACGGTACATTCATCTCAGTAGACTTTTCTGAAATGAAGTTTCACCACTGATTTGCCACTTACAAAGGGCATGGGTTGTCCTAAAGGAGTCATGATGTGAATCTCAATGGTATCGAAATGTTTTTTACTTAGTTTCAAATATTCCGCTCGAATGGGTTCCCATTTGGCTTGTTTTGAATCCTCCAAATGAAATGTACAAGGCACCACTCTTAATAATTTCAAGGCATTGGAGCCTACCGTCTAGGGTTGAATCAAGTCACAATAGACATGCATGGATTTCAGATTTTCATATAAATCCCCAGTATTGTTTCCCAAGTAACTAATGTATATCCATTTGGTCATGTTTTCTGTATCGTTCTGAAGAATGACTTTCTGACTGTCCATGCCTAGCTTATAAGCTAGGGATGTGGGGAAACGAATGCATAAGGGAGTGAGCATTTTTTCATTGATTTCATACATCACTCGATCATAGGTTTCGTAATATACTAATTTCATAGATTTGTCTTCATCTCCCTCACTTAGGGTTTTCCATATTTTTCTCATTGATCTCTGTAGTCCTAGACTTATTTCCTCTGTTAAAGCCTTGGGGTGAACATAAGGCCCGGGTCTGAAGTGAATTCGTCGAATTTCCATCTTGCTATCTAGTTCAACGAGTGCAGGCCGTTTAGTATGGGCCCAATCGAGCAGTACAGGACATTG